CTTGGCATGTAATAGAATTAGACATGTATGCTGGTCACTTGGCATGTAATAGTATGTGACATGTATGTTGGTCTCATGGCATATACTATAATTTGACATATATGCTGGTCTCTTGGTACATAACATTTTGACATGTACGTTGGTCTCTTGGCATGCAATAGAATTTGACATGTATGATGGTATCTTGGCCTGTAATATAATTAGACATGTATGCTGGTCTCTTCGGATGTAACAGAATTTGACATGTATGTTGGTCTCTTCGCATGTAATAGAATTAGATATGTATGCTAATCTCTTGGCATGTAATAGAATTAGACGTGTATGCTGGTCTCTTGGCATGTAATAGAATTTGTCATGTATGCTGGTCTCTTGGCATGTAATAGAATTTGACGTGTGTGCTGGTCTCTTGGGATGTAACAGAATGTTACATGTATGATGGTCTCTTGGCATGTAATAGAATGTGACATGTATGCTGGTCTCTTGTCATGTAATAGAATGTGACATGTATGCTGGTCTCTTGGCATGTAATAGAATGTGACATATATGCTGGTCTCTTGGCATGTAATAGAATTAGACATGTATGCTGGTCTCTTGGCATGTAATAGAATGTGACATGTATGCTGGTCTCTTGGCATGTAATAGAATTTGACATATATGCTGGTCTCTTGGCATGTAATAGAATTAGACATGTATGCTGGTCTCTTGGCATGTAATAGAATGTGTCATGTATGCTGGTCTCTTGGCATGTAATAGAATTTGATATGTATGCTGGTCTCTTGGCGTGTAAAAGAATTTGACATGTATGTTGGTCTCTTGGCATATACTATAATTTGACATATATGCTGGTCTCTTGGTACATAACATTTTGACATGTACGTTGGTCTCTTGGCGTGCAATAGAATTTGACATGTATGATGGTATCTTGGCCTGTAATATAATTAGACATGTATGCTGGTCTCTTCGGATGTAACAGAATTTGACATGTATGTTGGTCTCTTCGCATGTAATATAATTAGATATGTATGCTAATCTCTTGGCATGCAATAGAATTAGACATGCATATGCTGGTCTCTTGGCATGTAATAGAATTTGACATGTATGCTGGTCTCTTGGCGTGTAAAAGAATGTGACATGTATGTTGGTCTCTTGACATATACTATAATTTGACATATATGCTGGTCTCTTGGTACATAACATTTTGACATGTACATTGGTCTCTTGGCGTGCAATAGAATTTGACATGTATGATGGTATCTTGGCCTGTAATATAATTAGACATGTATGCTGGTCTCTTCGGATGTAACAGAATTTGACATGTATGTTGGTCTCTTCGCATGTAATAGAATTAGATATGTATGCTAATCTCTTGGCATGTAATAGATGATTAGACGTGTATGCTAGTCTCTTGGCTTGTAATAGAATGTGACATGTATGCTGGTCTCTTGGCATGTAATAGAATGTGTCATGTATGCTGGTCTCTTGGCTTGTAATAGAATGTGACATGTATGCTGGTCTCTTGGCATGTAATAGAATTAGACATGTATGCTGGTCTCTTGGCTTGTAATAGAATGT